TGTCCTCTCTCTTTCTCTATCTCTGTTTATCTTTCTCTCTTTCTCTCTCTCTCTCTCTCTCTCTCTCTCTCTCTCTCTCTCTCTCTCTCACTCTCTCAATCTACCAATCAATAAGTAAAGCGCGTGGCGAAAGCGGAGGTGGAAGCGAAAGTGGGGGTGGAAGCGTGTTTTTTTTTACAAGTTTTTTTTTTTTTAATTTCAATCAATCAATCAATCAATCAACCAATCTTGATTGATTGATTGATTGATTGATTGATTGATTGAGTCGGGTCGGGTTCCGTCCCCACGTGTTCATGATAGCAGTAACTTTTTTTTTTCTCCCCTAGCAATCAATCAATCAATCAACCAATGAACCGAAGTTGATTGGTTGATTGGTTGATTCATTGGAAGCGGGTGGCGGAAGTGGACGTGGAAGCGCAAGCGGGGACAGAAGCGGGGTTTTTTATAAGTATTTTTGTTAATTTCAATCAATCAATCAATCAATCAATCAATCAATCAATGATCGCTTGATTGATTGATTGATTGATCGATTGATTGAAAGTGGAGAAGACAGAGGTGCGAACGCAGGGGGACGGGTAAACATCGGAGGTGGGGAGCCCCCGTCCTTTTCCTTTTTTTCTTATTATAATTTTATTTTTTCAATCAATCAATCAATCAATCACGTCGTGTGCCGTCTCGGCGTGTTCACAATCGTAGTAATTTTTTTTTTTTTTTTTCTCAAACAATCAATCAATCAATGAACCGAAGTTGATTGGTTGATTGATTGATTGATTGATTGGAAGCGGGGGTGGAAGGGGGAGCTGGCGGAAGCAGAGGCGGAAGCGGAATCGGGGGCGGAAGCGGGGGGGGGTTATAAGTTTTTTTTTTTTAATTTCAATCAGCCAGCCAGCCAGCCAGCCAACCAATCAAGTTTGTATTCACTATGGTTGCGTTTCGTGGGGAGGTAAGGCCGCAGGAGGTTCGTTTCTCTCCCTCCTCTATCAGATCAATCAACATAACTATGGCGCATGGCACCCAACAATCCCTCCCGACCAAGAAGAAGAAGTAAAGGAAGAAGAAAACAAACACAAAGAAGAAGAAAAAAAAGAAGATGAAGACGACGAAGAAGACGAAGAAGAAAACAAAGAAGAAGATGAAGACGACGAAGAAGACGACGAAGAAGATGAAGAAGAAAATGAAGACGAAGAAGAAGAAAAAGACAAAAATTTCACCAAGACGAAGAATAAGACGAAGTAGAAGAAGAAGATGAAGAAGATGAAGAAGAAGAACAAAAAGAAGAAGAAGAACAAAAAGAAGAACAAAAAAAAAAAGAAGAAGAACAAAAAAAAGAAGAACAAAAAAAAGAGAAGAAGAAGGACAACCTGAGTTGAAGAAGAGGGAAGAGGAACCTACCAGCAGAAGTCATCTCTTCTTCTTTTATTCTCCTCAAATCGAAACCTCGCGAAATCAGAATATCGCAAAATCCGAATGTCGTAAACTTAACGCCGCGCGGAGGGC